ATTATTATAGATGACAGAATATAATGACGCTTGTGAAGTTGAATCATCTGCATTCAAATAATTTGTTGTTTTAAGTGCCACACAATAAGCATGCTTATAAAAGCACCTTTTCAAATGTTTTTTGAAAGTAGTACTAATGTTACCTTTAATTTACCAGGTTAAAGCACATTGAGATTAAAACTGTCTCTATCTAACAAATGATCAAAGTAAATATATTAATTTGATTACAATTTTTCTTAGTAACTTTGGTGCATTTCTCACAACACTATTTACATTTGCACAACAGGTCATGCATTTCTCAAAACAATAAGTCATTTGTGCACATCCTAGTAGCAGTTTCTCATTCCTTTCAACAAATTGCAAATGCTTTTGGACGATCATCAGCTGCTTTTTTTTTTTTAAACTTTTGTTTTTTATTCGTTTTAACATAACGGAACAAACAGATCACCAGAGGCATCACATACAAGGTTTACATTCTTCTGATACAGTCGTTTTTATAGTACAGGTTACTCTCCCATTAGCCCCCACCCTAACCCGTCAGTAAAAGGTACTGTATTATAAGCATAAACACCAACATAGTTTCCTTCAAGTCCATATGATTCAGTCTTTTACAATCTGTAATGTGCGGTCCAAAAAAATATTTCACATATATAATATACATACATATGTACATATATTGAAAATAAAAAATAATAATAATAAAAATAAAAAATATAAATAAATATAAATAAGGGGAGGAGGGGGGTTCGCACTCATTGCAAAGCATTTCCTAGCAAATTATATATTTTCTATATTCTTATATATAAACCATTTTGACCAATTTTTATAGCATTTCATCAGCTGCTTTTATACAACTCTCCACTGTTTATAACATTATCATCTGCTTATGTCATGTCAGTCAAAGTTAACTAAACTTGTAAATGCTGAATAGTCATTCCATATAAAACTAACAGTCCTCATTTCATTACTTGAGTCATTACACACAAAAATGTTGAACTTGATGTCAAAATCGGTCAAGCAAACTCCATAAAAAATAAATAAATAAACTTTATTTTCCTGAAAATGTCTTTAAAATTGAACAGTTTGATGAATGATTTACAGACCTGTGTATGTTGTAGGCTCAGTTACGATATGTACTGCAATATTGTGTACGGATGTGCACAGCTCTACCTAAAGGGAGTTCATGTTTGTTGTAAATAAGGGTGTTTATTCTTTTGCACAATGCTGGGAATAAATTAGAATTGCAAAGAGCAAATGTTGCAAAAATGTGAAACATACATATTCAGTGTCTTGTACTCAGATAACTCACTCAGTGCAGTGATGTCCAACTTTACTGTAGTTTTCAAATGGCTGTGCAAATAGTATACAGTGCTGTCTTGGGCATTTTCAGGAAGTGTCACCAACATCTGACTTTTTTGCATTGAAAAAATGTCCAGAGTAAACTGTCATAATGAAAACATGACAAAGCCATTTTACTATCTTGTTCATAAACAATGGTGTCAGGACTTTTCATTTTGATGACACTGACACTTTGATTGACATCAATACTTGTTTTTGAGGAATGAACTCTCCATTTTGAGCATGTGACGCGCTTTTGCAGGTTATCAGCTAGGTTTTGCAGTTTGCACTAATTGTTTTAAGAAATGCATTAACTGTTGTGCTGAAATGCAGTAGTGTTGTGAGAAATGCACCAAAGCCACTGAGAAAAACTGTAATATAAATTTAACCTTTAAATATATTGTTTTATTGAAATAATTTTTAAAAAGATTTTGTAAAAAAAAAAAAAAAAAAGATTTTTCTAGAGGCGTCCACCATTATTTTGTGGCTCAAAAGTATCGGTTCAGGCACCGTTTTAGCACCGGTATCGTTTTAGCAGTGGGACAAACTACTGTGAGGAAGGGGGAACTGTTTCTCAATGCATTTATTGCATTTGTTTTTTTCTTATACTTACACAATTATGGATGCAAAAACTTCTAAGTGCCATCTGGAATTTTCTTCTACAATGAGCATTCTTCTCATCCTTTTATGTTTATGTTCAGTGTTTTCATATTAAAAGCGATGAAAGTAACCTCCTCTTTAAAGGTTAAATATTAACTAAAGTTTTTCTCGAGTCTTATATGTTTTGCATACTAATGAGGCATTTTTGCAGAAGTAGGTAAATGCTGGTCCAAAATTAAATTTAAAAATTAAAAAATTAAATTAAATGCGATTGACACCATCTTCTCGACGAGAAGTTTGTGAAGTAGAACCAGATGGCTGCCCGCCCTCATCGGACTATATCCACATCCCCTGTTCCCATCCCCAGTTGCGATGTCAGGTCTTGTCTGTTCATGTGCTTGACTGCTGGGGCTTTTTTTCTCCCTGTTCTCACTCTGCCCTAATTCAAGAGCAAGGCGAGAGGGAGTTTTTTTTGTCTCCCTCTCCTGAAATGTATCTTACTTCCATTTTCTAAATGCTACCTCCTGTGACCTGTCTTCCCCTGGAAATTGTGCTGTTTGTGTACGGTCGGGGGGTTCTATTTCACTATAGGAAAGTGTATGTGACAAATAAAGGCCTGATTTTATTTGATTTGATTTTTGCAAAAGTAGATAAATGCTGGTCCAAAATTAAGTCCAGCTCTGAACTGTTAGAAGAAAGGTGTTAAAACTGAACACGGAACACAGAAAGTCTCATGCTTTTAATGGTGTGCAGAAAATTCATAGAAAGAGAAGACTTGTGTCTGGAGTGCGGCTAATGGAGGACTGGAGAATGATTGACAAGGGACGAATTTCACTAAACTCCACCTGTTAACATCAGCAGCCTTTATAAGTTAAAGTCAGGAAATAAATATGGCTGCGCACCTCCTGAATATAACTTTTGCACTGCATTGAGGATTCTGTGAATCGAATTATTTATTTGTATCCAATAAATTGATATGATTTTTGACACTGCAGAAAAACCTCTCCTGACCTTTTTTATTGAACACTCATGGAATTGATTAAGAATTCCAACAATTTGGTGACCTTCGACGTGGAAAAGGGGGAGAGGAAATTATTGATCTGTCGTATTGCACTGACATCAATGGTGCCAAAAAAAATGATAATAAGGCAAGCAGAAAACCTGTTAAATTGAATTTCTGTGATCTAAATTGATTGATGTCATGTGATATGTAGGATCAATGTAGTTATAATATACAAACATTTGAATGATTCGATCATTATGCTTAATGAATGATTTGTTTTGTTAAACATGAGTGATCGCGACACAGGGAGAGGATCAGTAGGACAGTACACAAAAGGGAGAGAATTGGGTTAGGCGATGACACAGTATAGGGAGAGAATTGGTTAGGAGAGTACCCAGAAGCATCAGTATTTAAAGGGTCATGAAACACCAAAACACATTTTTTGAGCTGTTGACAGTCGTATATGTGTCCCACACTGCTAAAAACACTATTAGGACACCTATATTTCACTAAAAAGTGTAAATTGGTTGTTTTTGCGTTATTTCAAGCAAATTGGTACTTCCGGTTTGAACCGAATTTTTGAAGCTGCGTCACGGTCATGACATAATAGTGTTGTATTCCAGCGTGCAGACTGGATGTCTGTGCCAGAGTGAGTCTTATTACGTCTTACAGTGTGATGCATTAATGCATGAGTAAGGCTTGGTTCAAACCAATCAGCGCGCTCTATTGTGCTACTTCATTAATATTCATTACTATCACAGTGTTTAAACGACAGAGATGCCACGTTGTGTTGGCAAAACAAGCGTGAAGTGTTGCTTTTATAGTTTGCTACAGTTAAGTTTTGTTTTTATTTTCTCTCTGTGAGAGCTCATCTGGAGTCATGTGTGGATTAACAGTGTACGCGACACGCTACAACAATAACTTAACTTACGTGTCTAAGGACGATTATCGTTTACCTGAGAGCTGTTCTCATCTGCAAACGCTGAGATCCGGATTCGCTTGTAGTCTCCTCTTAATAAAGACGCGGCTCTAGTTGCTGGTGATTGTTCTGTCTCTACAGATTTGGTAAGTGAGCGACCAGTGCTCTTTGTTTATTCAGTTTGTTCGTATCGAATTAAGTTAACTATTGCACCGAGTGTAAACATATTAGCACCACAACCAAACTTTAACCTTGTGTAGGATTTTCACCGCATTTTGTGACTGGAATAACACACTCGGCTTTCTGACGCTACCTGCCGTGTGCATCTAAGTTTCCGGGAAATGCTGAGTTTTCTTTTCTCTCATTCGCCGTGCGGTATCAAACATTGCATGAAAAATACACACTTAGATCAGATCCTCGAATCAAATATCTCGTTTGTCGCGAGGGGCATGAATGAATTCCCTGAATGAAAGAGCCAAACTGCAGTTAAAGTCCACTATTTAATAATTTGGTAAAGAATTCGACTACAGATGTCCAAGTAAACACAGTCCCATTCTCCCGTGTGTGTGTGTGTGTGGTTGTGTGTTTTGACTCTGAAAGTCAGCGCGCCCAAATAGACACTCCCACACCAAGCCTCTTTTCTTTCTCCGACACCCCCCCCCCCCCCCAAACAGAGATGGACACGCCCACTTTTCTGACTTTTTCCAATGTAGAGGTGTGAAAACACCCTGCTGAAACGAGGGGGTTTCATGGCCCTTTAAGGTTATCCAAAAAAGAGAGAGAATAGAAGAAAGGGGCGCATACATAAATACAGTGACTGGGTACAGAAACTGTGTATGTGTACGGATTCTGTGTACAGACGGTGACGGCTGCCTGATAAAATTTGTACTAAAAAAGATAAAGAGTCGCCAGACACCTAACAACAATTAGGGTGAAAGGTACTCAGGTGAAACTCCTAATGCTATCCAGGCATTGAATATCACAGGTGGCGAAACATCAGTGAACGGTGGTAACAGCTGACGAGCCTGCAGCTGGATGAGGTGCGGCAGGCAGGAATGTCACGCAGGTAATTTTTACTTGTATATCAAAATTGCGTATAAAATGCAGGTCGACTATGTATATATATACCGTCAACTCTTTCTGATTTTGACTGTAAGGTAATGAACATGCGCCTTTTGTGAAGCTGCTTTTGATTTTTTTTTTTGTATCCAAATCAAATCTGTTGTCCACTGACCTGCAGCGATGACCGGCTCCTTCATCAGCTCTCTGGTGATTGGACGGATAAACTCATCTGGACAGTCAGAGTCCATCAGTGAAGACCTCAGGTCCTTAATCTTCCTCAAGACTCGACCGCGGAGACCAAGCGACTCTACGTGACAGAGAGGAAATGCTGTTTTAAATAAAGACAGATTTACCACCATTGTTGGCTCAGTCACTTTTATTAGTATTTTTTGTAACATGTTTATAAGTTTGTTCATCTATCTATCTATCTATCTATCTATCTATCTATTATATAGGTTTTTCATCTATCTATCTATCTATCTATCTCTCTATCTATCTATCTATCTATCTATCATATAGGTTTTTCATCTATCTATCTATCTATCTATCTATCTATCTATCTATCTATCTATCTATCTATCTATCTATCTATCCATCCATCCATCCATCCATCCATCCATCCGTATCTATCTATCTATCTATCTATCTATCTATCTATCTATCTATCTATCTATCTATCTATCTATCTATTATATAGGTTTTTCATCCATCCATCCATCCATCCATCCATCCATCCATCCATCCATCCATCCATCCATCCATCCATCCA